CTATGTACATAATAATATGTTATTAAAACATATATAAGATGTGTCAATATGCTAGGGTATTTGCGAAAATATATCATACTTTTAATAATGATAGGATAAACTAGGATTCCAGTTTTCTATCAGACTACGTCGAGTAAATTTAAGTTTAATTTAATTATATGCTCTTTCTTTGCGTTTTGAATATTTATTCATCCATGCCTGGCATTAAGAATATCGCGCTTAAAATATTTGTGAATGATACTTTTCGAGGTTTTAGTTGAACTGACAACAAGTTTATGGAAACAAATTGTTTTAAAAATCGGTGATTTACACTTTGAAAGCAAATAATACCTGGTTTTGGTTATAATATTTATATTTCAATTTCAAAAATTACGTTTCATTCTAAATTCTCCTGTTAAATACAATATTCCCGCAAACTTTAAAAGTTAAACATTTAAGCTCAGAGTAAAACAAGATTTAATAATCTCAGAAAATGCTTAAATTTTTTCTAAAATCTTATTTTGCCTAATTAAAAAAATTGTAAGAAAAAAGTTATGTTTAGTTGGTTTTAAGAGATTAAGAGAACGAAGGTCTCCATTTAATTGGTGGTGATTTAAATTGTAATGAATATTTTTACTTTTTTTTTTACATTTGAATGACTTACGCCTGAAACAAACAAAAGAATTGAAAATTTCTACAGTGACTACAACTGTAATAAATTTTGTTTGTATGTATCACAAAGAAAATAATTTAAAAGTTCTTATTATGACCACGATGCACCATCCTCTCGTATGGCGAGGAGTTTAGCCAATTTCGCTTTGGTCAGTCTACTATTATATTATTGATTCATAGTAATTCGTATAAAAGTCTTAAGTCTTGCAAAATTGTTTTCATTTAATACCCTAGAAAAATATTGTTTACGTTAATATAATATAAATACATACACAATAATGTACACATGAATTACATAAGCATATATGTATACCTATATGTGTATCTGTTTTTGTGTGCATAATTGTATGTACATAAATTTACAGTAAACATTTTTATTAAAGCTTTTTTTTTTCTTTTACGTTTTTATTATTATATAAGCACAAACATACATATATATGTACATGAATGTAATATTATTTCCTTTAGAAAAAACAACTCAAAGTCATATGTAATATTACAAGGATATAATAATGTACATACATACCTAATATGTTGTATATACTGAAATGATCTACACAGGATATAGAAATTTATATTATTATTATTATTATTTCTTTTAACAATTACATATGAAGTCAGGATAAGAGCAGTAAATGGAAAAAATGTAATAATAAAGAAAAGACAAAGCAATAATAATGAAACGGAAAAGAGAATAAAGATATAAAAATGAATACATTTATACACGCACGCATATACTCGTATATTCAGTAATAATCTATGAATAAATATAATGGACAGAATAATATATGCACATACATATATACCAATATATACATTATGGATATGTGTGTATTTATATGCGTGCATATAAAAAAGATGTATTTGCCCTTGAAACATTCATTTTTGCTACATCTTACTACATTTTATAAACATTAAAACATATATACATACATACGTATGCATGAATACGAATCTTTACTTATTTAGAACTAATAAAGTTTGATAATTTAAACATTAAAAAAGAATTTCTGAAAAAAAGCGAAATTATTATTAAAAAAATAATAAGGACAACAAAAAGGAAAAAGGCTTTCATAATTTTAAAGTGAAAAATAAAAGAAAAAGAAAAACTTCAATTAAAACTCATTAATATTATTTTTTTCGTAACGAAATGAGAAAAGAATAATAAAAATAAAATTGATGAAACAAAATGAGAATGTGAAACAATAAAAAGTGTACAGGATATGAGTTTGCCTTGAATGTAGTGCATTCATGAATCGATTTTTATATTATGATCGATGTAGTCGGTATAACTTGGTGTTCTCAAATTGGCCTTCTTCTTCTTTTCAGTTTATTTTTTAATTACTTTTGATAAAGTTGTTAAAAACCCTTATTTGAGGATGCAGAGATTCACATTTATGTATAAAACACTCAACTAGTTTCCCTGTTGGAGCTTTATAAAAATTCAACAAAATATGGCCATGATGCATATCGTTACAAAAGTCTCCAAAAGCCTTACAACTTTTTGAACGTGGGTCCTCCCGGGCTTTTAGATCTGGTGTATTGTGTGGTTAAGCGGAAGTGTTGCAAAAGCTAATGAAAATATTTTTTAAACATTATTCTTTTCAATTTTAAGGAAGTTAGTCAGTTTTTAGTAAACATATTCTGAAAAATGTGTTAGTTACCATATTCAGAACGATTCTGTTAAATCTGAGTTGGCGCGTACACAAACAGACCGACAAACCAGCAAAGCGATACACCGACCTATCTCTCTCAAAATAGTTTATTTACGTTTCTCTACCATCTAGAAGTGCGTTCCAATGTGGTCTCAAAAATTTTCAATGTGGTCGGTAAAAAGATCTTTATAAACTTACAATAAGCGGTTATTTAATTTTGGCGAAGATCAGAATAAATTATTTTTCTACTTATTTAAGACGTTGTTTAAAGCAAATTTTTTTAACACGACTCATGTCATGACCATTTTCCATCCCTATGATTTGCTTCTTTACAAAATTCATAACGAAACTTATTTCAGAAAACATAAAAAAAAATATTTGAAAATTTAAAAAACTTTGTTTTTATGTATAATAATTGAGATTTGTTAAAGTGAAGGCAGGAGTGTTATATAAAGAACAACTGTTTGGAAGTTTTAAGATCGAACATTTTGTTTAAAATTTTACGTCACCGCATTTTTACACAATTATCACATTAATATAGAAAAACCCGTATAAATTATAAATTAGTGAAACTTTTAATATTTTAATATTCTTTGTGGTTTCCACCTGATATTCAAAAGATGCAAACACAGAAATTAAGTTGAAAAATCTGTTTTTGAATTGAAGCTAGAGACATTGGAAAAATTAAAAAATGAATTCAATGTTTCTGCAATATTCTTTGATAAAATTAAAAATAAATTAAAATATATTTGATTTTGTTGTTTTCCGCCATTTTTTATTGTTATTTTCATTTTATTTTAAGTTTATTTCAAATTAAATTACTTTGTATTTAATATTTCCAAAACAGCAATAAAAATGTGTATTTTTTTAATTATAGAGTCTTGACTATAATAGTGATAGTGAGAGTCTTGACAATGATAGTGCAACTATAGCACTACTGTTGTTGTTTATAAAAGTTCAGAAATATACACATGGTTGCAATTTAAATTTTTCATCTTACAGAATTGGCGAATCTTAACATGGTACTGCAGTAGCATATTGGAAATGCAAGTAAAAAATTTATAGTGTTAACGTTGACATCATTGAATGAACTTTCTCAGTTTTTATTAAAAAAGTATACAAAAAAATCCAGTAAAACATAATTTAATTGTGTTTGTTAATAATTAAATTTTGCAATAAAAATTTTGTAAAAATTAAAATAAAAACTTGTCATGTAAATAATTTATCTTCGTTTCCATAACCATAAGTAAACATAAACTGTATTAGAATTCAGTACATTTGAAAATCAACTAAAAAAAAAAAGAAATTTCAGAGAAAAGCAAAAAACTTGTCACAATAAAAGAAAATTAGAAAATCAAACTTTGGAATTTTTTGTATTAAATTAGTGACTTTGAGCAAGAAAAAAAAAAAAAAAATAAAAAAAAGTGTACAAAGTTTAAGTAAAAAATATTTTCAAAAATTCTTTTAACTTCTAATCTTTTAAAAGAACCATCAGTAGATCCTTTCTTTTTTTTTTTCATTTTATTGCGAAATAAGAAAATTTTCTTGAGTTTTTACATACATAAATAATAAAATGTAAAGAAGAAAATCTTCATCTTCATCATACATATTTCAAAAGACAAAAACAAAAATTAAAAAAAAACATAAAGAAAAAAAATTCAGTGGAATAAAGTTCACAGCGATGATTTTATTGAGTTATTTAAATTTGAACAGTCGCTGATGTTGAAAAGTACAAAGAAAGGACGAAACGAACACAAAAAAAAAGAAACAAAGCAATGAAAAATGAAAGGAAAAAATGAAAAAGCCATCCATGCTCTCTAAAAATAGGAATAAAAATTATTCTCTGTTATTTAAATTACATAACTGTATTATAGAGAGTTATCGCCCCAAAAATATCAAACGCGCAAACATTCCAACAAAATAACAAACACGCCAACAATGCTAAAGCAAAACTTGGTTAACAGTAAAGTTGGTTAACATTCACATTTCAGTGAATTTAAAACAAATTAATTCAGAAGTTAATTTTTCATTTTTATTTTTTATGTAAATAACAAAAAAAAAAAAATAACAATAATAAAGAAAATTAAAAATAATTTACGCAAATAAGAAAAAGAAGAAGAAAAAAATTCAAAAATAAAAGAAAATGAATAAATTCATCCAGTTAAGTCACAGATAAGTTAAAAACCTTACAGTTACTCCTATATTAAAAAACGGGGGCGCGTAATACATAATTCAATAATCATATGAAAATTTTCTACTTTGAAAGTAAAAGAAAATTCAAAAATTAGCCACCATGAAAAGAAGAAAATTAATTATAGTATAATAACCGTTATTTAAACAAAGACTATGCAAATACAATATAAAATATATAGGTAAATATTAAAAAAATTAAATTTATATTATAATTGGGATATAAAATAAATTGTATAATGTGAAATTATCGTACTTTGTTATTTTTTTGTTTTTGAAATATTAAAAGAAAGCAAGAATTGCTCTATATTCAAATAGAAATTATAGAATTTAGATATAAATTGGAAGTGTATTAAGAATTTTTATTTTGTGATCTTAAATGAATTCTTAAATTAACGTTAAACTTTATATAAAGACTGTAACCTTGTATTTGTAATAACAATATAGTATAGCACATTCTAGGAAAACAAAAATTAGTCAAAGTGAAAATAAAAAAAAAAATTCTTTATTATTGAATAATGGAAAGTGATTTTTATCACTGAATTTTTGAACATATTCCTATTGCCATTCATTCAAAATAAAATTTTATTTTATTTTATTTACAAGGACAATCGAATAAAAATATATACTTAATACAAAAGAATAAATTTAAGGATTAAAAATAATTTATTATATTTGATTAAAAAATAAAAAGGAGAAAAAAGGTAAGTTTTCAAAATTATTTTCGCTTAATTATTTTTTAATTCAAGAATCATTTCCTTTTAAAACAAAAGATAATTTTTCTTAAAATTTCAGCTTTTTCATAAGAATTTTGAATTTTATACTCAATAATTTATTTTTACACCAAATACAATAGAAGAATTTAATTTTTTTTTTGTGTAGTGTGGTGTAGGACAAATAAAACAAGGTTCTTCAACTTTTCACCAACATTTCGATTTAATTTTAAATCTTCATCAGGGCTAAAATAATAATTTTATATGATAATAATGTTTTTACAATATATCATACATTTCTTATGTGTATACTTACATAAAGTTATTGAACAAATTTTAATTTGATTTTAACACAATTTACTAATGTTCTTCATTCAAATTTTTCGAGCATAATTATGTAGAAGTCAGTTGATTGTATACTTAATTTTAGACTAGACCTTCCTTCAACTCAAGTCATATTATCATTATCTTCAGTTTTACCTTGTCACAATACTTTTACGAATTTTTGCATATTCATGTTGTTTTGCATGCATTTAAGAATTTTAATATTAAAAATTAGCATTATGACATTTTGATAAACCGGGTCTTCAAACATTTTTCAGTTATTTTAACGGAAATTTAATTGTTAAATAAAAGCCTAAATAATTAAGTACTGTGTATGTCCATTACTTATTTCAATGCATAATAGTTTCAATTGTATTGTCTCTTAAATTAGAAGAAGTAGAAATTCATTTGAAGCTTTTATGAAATTAAATAAGTAGAAAAAAAATTGTAAATCGTTATATAAGCTATAATTGCCGTAAAACGACAACTCTTTGATAAAATAATTTTCTAAAAATTAAGAACTTAAGGTATGAAGAGTTCAAAACATTTTTCAAAAACTGATGTATGTATGTATCATACTTTGTTAACGAAACTCTTTGATCTTAAAGCAAAACAGCTCATTAGGATTTATATTTTTGATTTTCTTTTACCAATACACACTAAACGCTGCTTTGTCCAGAACGGGAATGACGGTATTGATTTTCATATACCAATATAGAAGGTTTAGAATATAATATTATGACCTCGTTATAGTTTTATATTTTTTTTGGTACTTTAATTCAAAGGTTCTCTTTAATTTTTTTATTTTGTTAATAATTTTCATGTTAAAGGGAAAATATTAAAGGAAGAATGTTTTTAGATAAAAATCTCGATGACCTAAGATTCGATGGTGAATATCTACACCAATTAATTTTATGCTCACTGGTAATTCTCGTGAAAACAAATTTTTAATGCGTAATACATGAGAGTATACGTTTTCGATATCTGTCCCATACTATAAATAGTAGTAAGTAATAAACATCACATCCTTTAAAGTCGTTCCAGTGATCAAACCTTCACAATGCCGTCCATTAAACTAATATTCTTTCATTTTCCAGTTCTAGTATGAAAGTGAAATATAAAAATACTGCAAAATCTTTAAAATTTAATGTGAAATGTTAACAATAAAGGAAAAATAAAATTCAAAGAAAATCCAACCAAGTGTGTCTTTTATAATATAAAATATATGCGATCTGACACAACGATGAAATCCTTATGAAAATTTCTATAATTTTTATCTTTTGAATTTAAATTATTTAACATAATTTTAATTTAAAATAAACACGTTACATCTTTTCTTCTTACTACATCCACTTTTTGTTGTCCCCTTCCTTTTTATTATAATAAGTCTATTAATAAATGAATGAGGAAGCATTTTCTGCACGATTAAAACCAAATCGAACATGAAAACTTAAATAGAATAAGAATAAAGAAGGGTGAAAATAAAAAAAACTAATGAAATCAGAATAATTACATTAAATCTTAAACCTAGCAAAAAAAAAATTCATTTATTTTGAAAAAGGGCTAAGGACATAAAAGTGAAAAATCACCAAAAAATTATAGTAATAGAAAAACTTTGGAAAACTTGAACATCATTTTTAACTCTTTTGTGATTAACGGTGTAGAATACGAGTGATTTTACATACTTTAATATTAGAAAGCACAACATTATGTTTACAAGTTTTTTTTATGATACACACATCCGCATATTCTGTTTAGTTATTTGAATATATTTTAAACGGTGTCATTCAAATGCTGCTCTGTGCTATCCTTTTGTATTTTCTTGTTGATTTTACTCTTGTCAATATGAGATTTTTTATGTAGAAGTAAAAAACAATAAAGCGCAATTTTCATCCATTATTTGTTCGATGGGCCTCTAGATAAAATTTTTTATTTGAATATTGGAAACGGAAACAATAAGCAATTCCCTTACAAATTTTTAACAAAAGCATTAGGAATCTACTTGTTGCATTAGTCGGAATTATTTCAACAATGCATTGTAGTTGATAAATTTATTGTTCTAATATTTTGTATTATGTAGACGTCAGGGAATCTTTATATATGTACTTTATTTATTTCAATAAAGTACACATAGTAAAGAATCATTAAAAAAATGTTTTTCTAATGAAGAAAAGCGTACAACAAGCTTTTTTTCTCTAATAATACTTATAAGCTCTACAAAAGAAATTTCCCATTAAAAAATTTGATTAACAATGTTATAAAAAAAAAATTCAAGTCAGAAGAAAACAAAGTTTTAGTTGGAGGGCAATTGGAATATATGACTTTCCTCAGATTATTGTCTATAACATCATTAACAGAAGCAATTCGACATACAACGCCACAAATAATTGCTTATACTCGTATAAAGACATCTAATTTTTAGTTTTGCAACTGTTTGATTGTTTGTTTGTATTCTATAGGTTTATATTCAAGCGCACACAAAAGCAACTGTATGATCGCATACAACTTAGTAATCAAACTATTTGTAGTTTTCTACAAACTGATTGCAATTTTAAGTTAACGCAATCGGTTTGAATTGACGCTATAGTTTTGTTGATTAGATGTCCGCGCAACGATTTTACAATTAAGCAGTAATTGTAAAACTAAAAATTCCATGTCTGCCTGAGCCCTAAAGAACGCGTATTTAAAAAAACATATTTTAGCCATAAAAAGTTCAATACAATTCGGTGAAATTTAAAAATGACTCTCACATTTGTTTAAAATATTGTTTTCTTTTTAAAGAGGTTCCTGTGAAGATTGCGATATATCTAACCTTATTGCATTACTATTGTTCCAAAAACACATGACTAAACTTTATTTGAATTTGTTTAACTAAATGCGAAAACATTAAAAATTTTTTTTAGGAATAAATATTGTCATGCCAAGAGTTACCTGCATGAAATGAATTTCTCTAAGTAACAAATAATTTAAGTGATATGCAAAAAAGACAAAAACCAAATATATTAAAAAAGTGAAAAGCAATAAGAAGAGCGAAAGAAAAAGTTGGTAAATGTGAAATGATTATGGGTTTTTTTTATATGGGTTAAGCGAAAAGAGAACACAAGTTGAAAACAAAAAAGAAAAAAATCATTAAAATCCTGTCAGAATGAAAAAGGACACAAAATAAAAATTAACAAAGAAAATAATAAAAGTATAAAATCTTATTTTATATAAACCCAAAGAAAAAAAAAGAGAAAAACAGAAAATGAGCGAAGTGACAAAAGAACGAAATAAAACCATCACGTAGTCAACTATAAAAGCAAGGAATTTCTTCTTTTTTTCGTTTTATTGCTCGGTAACGCTTTATAGGATATGAGCATTAAATGCTTGTAACCATATTATCAAGTTAAATGTTGTTTCCGTTTTTTAAAAGAATTTTAATGACATTTTCTTGTTCACTCGGAGTGAAGGGGAGGGCCATATATAATTCTATTATTCGTTTATAACTTTTTAATTACAATTTTTTTGATTCGTTTTGTGAAGTGTCATGCAATTCAGATTTTGTTTTTGTTTCTTTTTGGTTATTGTTGTCATTATTCAAATTGCTGCACTTCAGAATAACTAAATTAAAGACACTTAAAACCTTGATTAAAAAGTGTTATTAAAAAAAATTTCATACAACTACGTTGGCATATGAAAAGTATAAATAAACCTGAGAATCATAAAAATCATAGTTTAAAAGAATAATAAGGGCCATTTGGCTTTAATGTAATGGAAGAAAATTACAATATTCTATTCTATTTTTCGAAAATATTGACATAAATTTGAAATTTAAACAAAAAACATTTTCAAGAAAACAGCGAGTGGTTTAAGAGTCACATATTAGGCTGTACTTCCTAAATTCAAATTATGGAACGTGAGAAGTTAAGTACGATAAATTTTTAGGAATTCGATTCAGCGATTGGAATAATTCTAACCGATTTGTTGCCACAGAGAACTGCAAAATTTAATATTCGTTATCGTCTGAGAGTTATATGGGGGACAAATATCGAAAGTTGAAGAAGACAAAAATGATATTAAGTTTTTAAATTTCCTCATTCATTACCGTTCGTCATCAACCCATCTTTTATATTTTCATATTTTTAATTAATTTAAAATTAAACTAGTAGTCACTGAAATTTTAGTTGAATTTCAAAGGCAACGTAAATTACTAATTACTTTCAAGTTAAATTTTTACTTGTTAAGAAAACATTTGAATCTGATGAAGCGAACATCCACATGATAAGTTTAGACTTATTAAAAGAGTCAATTTTAAAATATGCTGTTACCTATGAACTTTTAATTTTACTCCAGAAACAAACTGCACGTATTATACATTTTACTTTCAAACATTTTATTTCTCTTTTATCACATATTTCTCTCTTAATGTAACATGAATATTAAACTCAGTTCCCAATGTAAATGCTGAGATAATTGTGAAAATAAATTTATTACAAATTTTTTTTTTTAGATGTCGAATATTTCACTATCTCATGAATATTTTCAAAATTCAATAAATTAATTTTTTATCAAGTTCAACAGATGTGGTCTGTTTTTTTCCATAACTCAATATTTTATTTGAATTTTCTTTATGTCAAAAGTGAATTTAAATAATGTCTTTATGAATTTTTATGATTTTTAGAGGTCGA